ATTGAATGCATCTTACAGGATGTTTTCAAGGTTGGTAGGATATATGGTTTTAAGTTATATATTTACAATAAACAAACACATGGCAGGAATTCTTTGTATAATTTCCCAAAAGCAAGTTAAAATTAAAACAATCTATTACTTGCTAAGTTTGTGAAAAAATATGTTTGAAAAATGCATGTATCTTAATTTCATCTTTTACATTCATATTAATCATTATCTAGCTTTCTAACAGAAAATAATATTCCTGATTAAATTCATCAGTAAAATGCAAATCTAGGTGTTACAATTTTCTTATCTATTTTTACAATTTGGTAGTTTTATTAGTTTTGACATTGCAGTGGCTTCTCAGACATCTATGAATTTAGTGTTAGGTAAGTGCATATTGTCTGGGAGCTTAAAGAATCAGTTTTTAAATTTGGCTATTAAAGTTAATATCTGCACCCCCACACTCTTATGGATCCCTATTGATATCCTCATATTATGCATGTATCTGTTTTCTTGGCATTTTATTCATTATTTTGGTCATTTATCACAATAGAAGCACTCAAGCTATGATCCCTGGGTAATGAAGACAGCCTATGACTAGAGCAGAAAGTGCTAAATCCGACAAATCTTCAATTTTCATAAATATTTACATGGATTTTAATGAGGATTTGATACACATTCACTGTTTTTTTGACAAAATCGTTTTAAGTCTCCAACTGAATAAATTGTCAGTTTGATCACAGGGACTGTGGTTTGATTAATACTGGCATGAACCTAAATCAGATGTATCCTACTGTTTGTTTCAACTGCAATGACTATACAGCATGAATTTGTCAATGTTGATTAATAATGATAATAACTAATGTTTGTTATTATTTACCATTTTTACTGAAATGTGAGTATCCAATCAATCGACAAACTTATCACAAGCTGTGTTTCTGTAAATTAATATAACCAAAGAGTGGATTAATTAAAAGAGAAATGTTGGATTTAACACTAATCACAGCATACTAGATGAATGTCCTATTTAAACTATTTCTGTTATACAGAATATTCCATAGAATTCAAGTTTTATCAGATTTATAGAGAACAATAAGTACTTTGAAACACCTGTGACGCATCAAAAATGTTAACTTGTCACGTAAACATACCAAGTATTAACCCGAACTGAAATAATGTAGTATGCGGCAACCTTTGAAGTTACATCACCTGTGACATAAACAAGTAACTTGCATGCTATCACGATGTTATGATATAACAATGGGTTGTTATTCACAGATATCATAAATTGGTAGGGGTTTACGACTACGTGAACTGAACAGCGTACAACCATGTTTTCATTTCAATTTGAATGCCAACTTACAAGAACTACACAACAGTAGAAAAACTGTACAACTGATCGCCTAAATTTATGTTGCATTTTATAAATGCATCTTTTTTTTCTTATTCAGCTAATTATCATAATCTTAGTTTTTTATTTGGTGGATTATTAAACATGATTAGCATGGACACACCAATGTGAAAGAGGAAGCTGAATGTTGGCATTACAAATATGTTTACATATCCTATCTTAACTAGTCTTATAAAAACTGCACCTTTTTTTAATATTGTTTTCAACCCACTTGACCTTTGAACCAAGGTCAAGTCTATTCATGTTTTTCATTTCAACTGATTAAATCAATCCTGCAAAAGACAAAATACATATACCATATTTTGAGATATTTTGAGCAGTTTTAAGACCAAACACAAACACATGCATAGTATTATTAACGAGGATTATAAATTACTGTTTCTAGGTTCCCACAGACTTGTTTGTCCCTATGACAACACGACAGATATATTTTAATGGCATGATTTGAATTGATTTGAAATTTTTAAATAATTCACTAGGCCGATATTCCAATTCTGAAATACAGCAATACATTTATTTTAAAATGTGATACTACATACATGGGTAGTTAATTTATTTCATCTTTTAAATGCCAATTTTTCCCATCTGAATTTTAATGAAACATTTTGCACATTTTTATGTACATTTTAATAACTTTCTTATTAATTATGAACAAAATGGACACAATTTCAGATTGTCTACAGGTCTTAATCAATTTAAAAAAAAGAAAATATATTGTTGATTTATTTTGTATACCCAGTACAAATCAATATCCACTGTAAATATTACTACTCTCAGGATTGGTAATACATCACATAATGTTATATGTTGCTATGTATTTTTATGGGCTCTGCGCAACTGATGTGAAACACCGATCCAAGAGCTGATGAAAACAGCTAAAGATGAGAAAACAACTAAAGTCAAGAAAACTGCACAAACTCAACTATGAGACAATCCAAAACAACTAAATTCATATATGTTTTGCATGTAGAGGTAATCTTGTTACACTGTTCAGGAGTCTCAACAACTAAAGTGCATTTTTTTTTTTCAAAGAGCTCGATCATTGTTCTCACCGGTTGTGGTTGCCAGGAGATGAAAATGCCCGGATGTTCTCTGACAATTTTATACTGGTTTGATGCCACTTCGCAAAGAGGGAAAATGAAAAATCATAAAATTGGAAATGTTCTACTGTAATATGCACATCTCTGTGGGTAATGAAATGCTTTTAAATAATGACCATATTTGCACAATAATTCATGGTTATAAATTACTCAGCCATTTGCTGTTGGAAATGACAATTTATTGTAGCTAAATCTAAATTTATTTGCTGTTGGTGATGGGTTAGCAAAATCTCAGTTACTGTAAATCGTTTTTAGTTTATGAGGTACAAATTTTCTGTAAAAAATGTAGCAGTGAAAATGTCTGAGGCTTTTAGGCAGTGAAATGGCTACGATATTCAGACGAATATCAAAAACTGAAGTCGAGAGAATTGAAAGTTTAAATAATAATCTTAATTACACTAATTATTAAATATCTAATCTACGTCCTACTTGAATTATGTATTTAAAATATGTTTAATTTTAAATACAATATCAAAATACATTCTATGCTTTTGCTGAACATGTGCTGAGATTTTATACCTATGAACTGTTGCTAGAAAAGCACATTTGAAATACACTGTACAATAAGTGGCTTACATTTTTGATAGTTGTACAATTGTAGTTCAATACATCTCTCATAGAAAATTAATTACTTGAACAAAAATGCATACGGCATATACTAGTACTGCAATTACCACAGATTCAAGAGACACACAAGCCCTATGTATACTAATGAACACTATCAAAGTGTCCTTGCATGTGAAAAAAAATCTGGGCTTATATTTGATAATTATTATTTTGGATTTCATGCCCTAAATGGCCAAGATAAAGCAGTCTGTGAATAACCTATCCAATCAAATTGTGTAGGAATACACCTTACTGTGTTTAATACAGGACAAAAAACATCTGCACACATTTAAATAGACTGACTACATAATAAGCAGAAAAACAGCAGACAACATACATTTTACTGCAGTAAATGGCTTATGTAATATTTAAACTTATGTTTTGTCTAATGTATTTTCATTGCTTAAATTTTTAAAATCAATAAATTACAAAAAGTAAAAAAAAAATTGCAGACTAATTATATAGACTGCCAAGGTGTAAGCTGATTAGTAACAGGTAGAGCGAGTAACTTAACTCGTATGAAAGGTAATTAAGAATTACAATAAATTTGGTTTGAATTTTAAAAAAAATGTGTAAATGGAGTCTATCAGTTAGGAAAAACGAATATACAAGTCAGATTTAGTGAAAGCTGATTAGTCTCGCAGCTGGATTTGAAAAATATTGCACCTGTTTTGTAAGCACAGCTGATTATAGAAGCATTTATATCTACGTCATGACAGGGTGAACAGAATACTTATTTCTGAGCACCATTTCTCAATTAAATAGCTCTAAGGTTAGGATCGTTACTCCTGGATTAGAACAATGTATACGACAAGTCATAGGAGCTATTTTATGTTGTAGATGCATTAATTGTTCCGTGGAACAATAATCTCACTACATTTATTGATAAGAGATACCCAATGAAGTTAAATCCATGAAAATGAAATTTAATATCAGTGAAAATTAATGATTAATTATGTGTATCCAATTACCAAATAAATTAAGTGACTGCAGGTAGAAATTGCACTCATAATATGTGTTGTACAATCTAGGATGACAATGATATCAGTTTTTTGTATACAAGCAGAAAATTCTGTTTACCTTCAACACAAATTTTACTTACTTGTCATACAAGTGAACTTAAATGCCATACACACAAATTAATATACAAAAAGGCTATCATTGTACACTGGATTTGCTCTATTACAAGCACTGTCAATATTATTGTATTCATCGAATACATGTACTAGATACTGTAAAATATTTTATTTTTGCTATTTTCACTGAAGGAATGATTCAGTGAAAATAAAATCCAGCGAATATACTTTTTTCATATATTTTACATTCACCTCATCAAACATCAGTGAAAATAAAATCCAAACAAAACACCCTAAAAATCTTTTCAGCTAAAATTAATTCTAGCTAAATTAGTGTACAGTAGATCAATGCTGAAATATGACTGTTTGGCCAGAGACAAACTTGGGTCACTTACATGTACTACTAATAGAGCAAACACAGTACATGATTTTTACACTACTAGAAGTGTTTAGGTGAGATTTTAATTACACCTTACTTATACTGAACCATGAATGGTATTATTTTTTCAGAGATTATTTACATAAGCGTTTCAACTACCAATAGAGCAAATATGAAACATTGTGTGGAGGATCAAGGATGCCAATGCTGAGTATAGCAAACTCGTAAAACGATGCACAGTAATCCTCAGCCACATTAAGTTCAATATGCAGGACACTCACTAAAAAGTTAGAGGCTCTATCAAAATACATTCCATCCATAGGACTTGAAATTAGAAGTAGCCCAACCACAGAGACTACTAATTCATGCCAAAATTAGTAGACAACCGACTACTAGTAGGTCACTCAGTCTCCTATGAAAACACTGAATTTCAAGCCCTGCGTTCAATTATAGGTACTTTTCTGCTCATACCAGGGGCTGGCAATGTAGCCCCTGTAAGCCACACACTGAAGACTGGATGTGATCCCACGCGACAGACGACTACTAATTTCGAGCTGTTCAACCCACTGATTTTCAAATGGATCATACCTATGCACAAGTAGGTACCTACCACGTCGGGCCTGGGCGTCACTGACAACCAGTATCTCATCGTTCAGAAGCGCCAAACCAACTAGGTTAACTGGCTCAAACTTGGTTGGATACTGAATACGTGGAGAAACAATGGGTGGATGACGTACCAACATTCCACCACGCCTGGGTGGGAAATTCTCAGCATTGAAATTCTGGAAGGCATTGAAAGTCTGATGGTAATCTGCAGCATCATACATACCCCAGCACAGTATGTAATCAGCGACTGTAAACAGGTTCTGAATGTAACGCATGTTCATCAAACCGACACCTGCAGGCACGATAGCCCACATTCCAGTGTAGCTGTAATAGATGCATAGAGTACGAATGACCTTTGAATGGCTTGCCGAATCCATCGCATATATTCTATCTTTGAAGACAGTCACCACAGGTTTGATGAGCGAAGACGGTAGCGGAGCAACTTCGGACCATTCATCAGTCTCAACTTCGTATCTTTCCACCAGATTCACTGGGTTGCAGACATCTGGTGAGTTGATCTGTCCGCCAATAGCATAGACAACCTGGTCCATTTTACATACACCAATGTCATATCTTGGTAACTGTAAATTAGCACAGGTGCTCCACAAGTTTTCAGTGATGCTGTACTTCCACGTTGTTGAACAACAAACCTCCGAGGTCATATCCCATCCACCAATCACAAATATGTCAGTATCAATACAGATGATAGTAAAACGGGACAATCCCAATGGGAGGCCATTGTGCTTTGTGCATACATCATGAACTGCAAGGTCTCGTAAACCAATGAAAGCACACTGTGGAGGGGACATTTCATCAGTCGCTTGTGCAAGAACAAATATTACATCCTGGTTCATCGAATTCCGAGGGTGGAACTTTTCGCTGAATGCCTGCTGCGTAGATGCATGGCCGTCTTTTGTACACAAAGCTTGTACAACCATCTCTTTACACTTCTGAGACTTGATCACTGATGGCTCTTTTTCCATGATCTTTCTCAAAAACTTTTCGTGGAGAAGAGGGAAGCGTACACATTCCATTAACTCATCAACATAAGCAGCACGCGATTCCATATCATGCGCCAACCACCTAGAAGCGGCCAAGAACACTGATTCCTCTGCCATGACATTCAGTCTATCATCTGATAAAATCTGTACCATCATAGACAACGAAAGGGTTAAAAAATCCTCATGATTGGTCAATTTCGGAAAAGAATTCAGGATGAACCTCAATGTATAGTTCCTAAGATTGGTACTGAAGACGTTTGATACATTGAAAATCTTGATGCAGTTATCCGGTTGGACAATAGTCTTAATACTCTCTATAGTGACTGGAGGAAAGTAGACCTGGAAATACGCAGCACTTTCAAGAAGATCAAGAAAATCTTCACACTCCACATCAAACATTGACGTATACATAAAGGTGAGAAGGTCTTCAACTATATCTGCCGGTTCAAGAAGATCAATCTTCTTGGCTTTCTTCTCAGTAAAATCATGACTAAACATTGCTCTGAAGTAGTCGCTGCAAGCAGCTAAAACTAAGCTATGACAGGCAAACACCTCGTCACTACACACAAGTTTTATATTAGTGTGCCTTCTCTGACTTCTCAAACACTGTAATTCAGTTAGTAAATTTATCCCATGCATTGGTTGGCAGACAATAAATGAATTTGGCTGAGGCTGGTGGTGTTGAAACTCCTCAATCTGGGAATCAAGAAATTTCAAGCATTCATTAGCGAGAAATTCATGGTCCATCAAAGTGGCCAATTCTAGCATCTGCTTCACATTTTCATCTGTTAAGATGAGGTTCCCAGAGTAACAGTACTGAATGATTTCTTGGATAACAGCAGGTTCTGCGTTGTTGAGCTTAATAACAGTCTGAGGACAAAGTCCGGACTTCTTGTCACAACGAGACCCAAGCTCAGACAGTTTAATAAAATCAAATCCACAGATCTCAAGAATTAATTTGTGGCAATGAATTTGAGTATTCCCAACACATATAGAGATATCAGTTAAGACTTGATCTTGTCGAAGGCGTTCCAATGAGTCTAATAATTGACTTGCATGCTGAACTAACTGGTCATTATATTCTGATTTCTCCATTCTGTTCTTTTATAATGGTTAACACTATAAATGTTTGTACCTATAAGAAAGTAGAATATAGATATTATTTAATAATAAATTACATGCAACTCAAAACTGTGGGTTCTATTGTGAAAGAATGAATTTTAAATTAGATTGATTTTGAATTACTGTAGAAAACTTTATTTTCGCTTGGAATTTATTTTCGCTGAAGGGATGTTTCCGTGAAAATAAAATCCAGCGAATATACTTTTTTTTTTTATATTTCATATTTAAACTCATCAAAAATCAGTGAAAATAAATTCCACACAAAACACCCAAAAAGCCTTTTCAGCGAAAATTAATTCCAGCGAAAATATAGTATTCCACAGTAGTTTATTACAAATGTACGTTTAATGACCAAATGACTGATTTACCTATTCTGTACTATGGTTGTGAGTAGACAGTGAAATTGTCCAAACCTTTTTTGATCAAAATGAAATAAAAATGAAAATGAAAATGTCACTGAATTCACTGAAAATGTAAACAAATTTACCAAAATGTAAGCAAGAAAAAACTTAATTGGCACCCAAAAGGTTATAAAAATATTGTAATATATACTAGTATTGTTATATATGCAGCGACAAATAAGTCAGTGTTGAACAAGCTCTACAAGATAAATGTATGACACACCAATACATAGGCTAGTGGTAAATGTAATTTTCAATTGAAATAAAAACAAATTTAAGCCATTAAAAACTTACAGGTCACTCAAGGTGAGGAAATCAGAGACCCGCAACTGACGACACCAGTTGTATCAATCATGGGGTTCCATGGCTGAAATGTAGTTCAATAGCTACACGTTCATGTTAATGTTACAGGAACCAACACATGCCGAATTTTTTATAACTTCACGGTTGCAGAGGGATTACAACAGTTGCGTTCACATTAGTCAGGACTCGCATCAGAACCCTCTCGACTTGTGCGGAAATCACGCGCGATATTTGTTGATCTGTTATTTGACCCAAACATGGCAGAAGATATGCATACTGCTGTGATGGTATTTTATTATGAGTCATCATACACATGAATGGCAAAGAAAGATTCAAAGAATTTTCAAGACAATGCAGCATTGCAAGAAGAAATCAGTTGCATCCATTACTATATGTATGTCTGATTGTCATATTAATAAGTGCCAAGCATCCAGGCAGCAAAAATTGGCATGCATCGAGTTTCGGTCTCATGATTGTTTATTTTGGCAAATGCCAACTTTTGTGTATGAATGGTCAGGATCCAGATGTGTAACATGAACGCCTCTACTGGTACTAAAAAGACGCATTCAAGATCAAGTTTCAGAAGCCAAACCATAGAAGAATATGAATATATATGCTTGGTGGTCATTCACATTCTCTGAAAATGTATGACATTGTACACTGTAGCTCAACACTGTAGATCAATTTGCATATTGTGAATAGCAACACATGAATTACATTAAGATATCTTCTTTAGCAATTCCATGTTTACATTGGTCAGTTGCAAGTATGGGGTTCACATATTTAGGTGAAAGTCTTGAAAGGCAGTTGTGACATGTACTTTGGGAAAATATATACCTTGTTCACATCTGTTTTTTTATGTCCCATTACACCAATGTAAATTACGTCAGTGTAAGAGAAAAACAGATGTGAACACAATACACTGAAGTAAAAGGGTTTAAAAATAAACAACTTTAAACCCCTCTTGAAAAGGGATATAAGCACTGGCACAAATATTACATATTAGTTACGTCAGTGTAAAAAATGATAAGAACACATTACGTCAGCATAAAGGAAATGAAAATATGGCGACAGCAACACTGACGACCATGATTCTCAGAGGATGTAGAAAGTTTATTGGTGTCCAAAACTGAATTTTAGTGCTGGGTCAACCGAATTTAGTTTTATCTTATTTTTAAGTAGCAGGCTTGCAAATGTCTGTCAAATTTTGAGTCAGTATAGGTTGTTATAATGACCTGTATATGTTGTTAAACTGGAAATATGCCAATTGGTTCAAACATATAGCTCCATGTTCTAACAAGTTTATATGTATGCATGTATGTATATTATGACATTTTACATGGCCTAAATGAAAAAGTACACAAAAGACAGGAATATTTTGTTATCCAGTCTTATTTCCATCTTGTAATATCTGCTGCTGATCCTTATCTTTTTAACTACCAGGCGCAACTTATGTTCATGTAGAAAGCAGTGATAGAGTGAAATTGAAACAATGAATTATGCAAGGCCATCGATCTGGGCTTCAGTCTTAGAACTGTGAATTGATTTCCTTGAACAACAAAGCTTAAACAACAACCCATGAAAGTGTATGGTTCGGGGCGTGCCAATAGTCAATTGATTATTGCCACTGGATATAGATGGTCCTGGACATGGAAAATTGCCAAAAAGAAGGGGTGGGCGTTTGCCAGGAGATCCTCGGCAAAAAAACGAAAAAAACGCGAAAGTTGACAAAACGCAGATTGAACTGCGGCAGGGAATAGAACGGCAAATGAAAACATGCAACGGAGATAAATGAACAATATGCAACACTAGAAGTAAAACAAAAATAATGTATTGCTTATAATGTGACAAATAAACCAGAAATAATAAAAAACGACAGTGATAAATCATTTGAATTAGGATTTTCCCGCCGACAAACACGCCCAAAATGAATTAAAATGTCAGGGGTTAAACTGCGTAAAATGATTTCCGGTCTCGACAAATTACGAATCAACCGTCATACAAGATCAATAATAATTTACGAATTTACACAGTAAAAATTATAAAAATTTATAGCTGTTTGAAAAAAACTTCTCAGATCTTTATTCGTACTTTCATTGCCATCTTTGTCAAACTCAAAACTCTCAAATGTCCAAGTCAAATGTCC